TATTTACATTTTTATGGAATATTGCAGTGTTTATTATAAATGATTTATCCTTGAATCCTCGTTATTTTTTTTTTTTTTTGAAAATTCATGTGACCCTTTCCCCTCCCCCTCTCTGATGTGTGCCCTGGCGTGAGGGCAGGACAATAATCCCTCCCTTCCAGCAAGCTGTCAATTATTTACTCTTATTTGTTTCCCCTTATTTACCCTCCTGTTGTTCTAATTTTGATGTGAAAAAAAAACAGGCCTATATATATTACAAGCAGTGGCGTAACTACAGACAGTGCAGGCAGTGCAGCCGCACTGGGGCCTGTGCCGCGGGGGGGGCCCGCAGTGCACGCGGGCCCTGCCCACATTGCAAGCGACTATATTAATATAAATTAATAATAAACGTATTAATAATAAAATACAGTTAGTACCGAGACTGAATAAATACATGAATTCGCGTAAATTTCATGTGTTCTTTAGTGGTCTAGTGGTAGAACTTTTGTCACGCATGTCCGAGGTTCTGGGTTCTAATCCACCCTCGTGTAGTTTTTTTTTTCTCTCATTAAAACCATAGGTGTTCATCAGTGATTGTATATCAAGAGCAAGGACATGTTTGTGTGCATTTTGTTTTGTGCTTTTACCAGAACAAAGCGTACGATCGTCTGTGTGAAGACTGTGCATTGTGCAAGAGAGAACTGATAACAGCAGCAACGAGCGCTCGCCATACCACATTCCAGCGACAGATCGCCTGTTATTTAACACAGACCAACTAATCTGTTATCAAATGGAGATGTTTCTTTAGGTCAGTGGTTCTCAACCCGCGGCCCGTCACGAATTCAAATGCGGCCCACCATGCTGAACACAATTTTTAAAAATTACTTTCAGTTTTACGATTCATTTTAGTTTTTACATTAATTTAAAAAATGTACTAAATAAATATAAGCTATAGCCTAATGTTTTTATGTAAAATAAGTTTGTTTTTCATATATTATTATAGCCTAATTAACGTTACGCATTTAAAGTAACGACCAAGTGGCCAGCGGCAGACAGTGAGCATATTTTAGCCTTCTCAAATCATCACGACTTGACTAAAATAAAATCTATAGATATAAAACAGTTCAAGCATATAACAATGTTTAAACGTTAAACCTAGACAGGGGGAGAGCGGGGCACAAAGTAACAATTTTTGACTTTCTCAGTTTGTGTAAATCCACATGGGGTTCAGAGTATAATTTTTTTATCCACAGTAATTTCACACTTGTCTAGTACAAATACAGGTGCATCTCAATAAATTAGAATGTCGTGGAAAAGTTCATTTATTTCAGTAATTCAACTCAAATTGTG